AGGAAAGGGGGGGGGAGAGAGTGAAAAAAAAGGGTGGGGGGAGAGGAGGGAAAAAAAAAAGGAATGAGTTAAAGCCACAGCGCTGGCTTTAATATTTAATCTCCCTCCATCAGCAGCTGACATATAGCAGTGTTATTTCAGGCTGCTATTTTGGAATTAAAAAGAAGATGTAGGCTGTAAAATTTGGGGGGGGGGGCTGGGCTGCTGCTGCTGGGCCCTGAAAGCAGCACTGACCCTTCCTGGCTGCATAAAATCAGAGTTTAAACACCCATTTCTCCTTTTCTGGCTGCTTTTAAGAGGGGGGGGTTTAGGGAAACCCCAAATCAACCCGGGGTTGATTTAGCCCAGAGATGGTCACGGGGTTTTTTTGTTGGGTTTGGAACAGATTTGAGGCAGGGTTGAGAGTGGCCAGGCTGAGTTCTTTAACTCACCAGGCTGTGACAGCTCGATGAATAAATGTGGTCGTTTAAAAATCTTTATTTAATAGGACACAATCCTTCCAGCTGGACGGAGGCACCATCTCCATTAGGGCAAGAGCCAGAGGATAAAAATGCAGGAGGTCGACGCCTGAGTCTTTAGTCAGAGGGAGAGTTTTTTCCCCTTTTAATAAGCTCAGGGGTTTTTTTTCCTTCCTTTTGTCGAGCCCACAAGGGTGGCTGATGCTCACAGAGGGTCAGGTGAGCACCAAACCCACCACGTCCAACCCCCTCCAGCTGCACGGCTGGATTTTGACCTTGCCAGCTCGTTTTACTGAGCGTGCAAACGCTGGCTGAGCCCAAATTCAGGTTGGATACAGAGCTGGTGGTGGCTGCAGCAGCACTGACTCTTCCACGGGTGGGGAAAAAGGAGATTGGAGCTCACAAAGAAGCAGAGCTGAGCAGGGTGAAGGAGGTGAAGCCAGACCTGTCTCCACCGAGCTCATCACGGCTGAGTTGATGAAGTTGTTGTTAATAGGGGCAGAAATTGTTCCCCAGCTTCCTCAGCTCCCCACATTTGAGCTCTAGACCCTTCCCCAGCCCCACTGCCCTTCTCTGGCCACACTCCAGCCCCTCAAGGTCCTTCTGGACCCAGTGAGAG